ACTACCTTAGCTACATTAAGCAAAACTTGTACAGCATATCTGATGACCTCCATACAAGGAACACTACGATTACAACTTCGGATTAAAACAAATATTTTAGAAATTGCTCCACTCTCAGCCATGTTCTCACAACAACGTGGAGATAATCTGGTAACAACCTCTGAAAGAGAAAAAGACACATGTTAATTTCCAGTAACAACAATGCATTCCAATTTTATATATAACTATAATGTAGGTAAGTAGAAAAATAAATAAACAGAAAGAAGACCAATTGAATAGAGAAAGAGGACAGGGGAGGGACTGGGAGAAGAAGAAGTACAAAGGATTGAAATGGAGCAAACTGKCCGGGTGTGGTGGCATATGCCCGKAATCTCAGAGGCTTTAGAGGTGGAAGCAGGATGATTCCCAAGTTCAAAGCCAGCCTCAGTAATTTAGCCAAGCCCTATGCAACTTAGCAAGATCCTGTCTCTAAGTGAAAAAATAAAAATAAAAAACAGACTGGGGATGTGGCTCAGTGGTTGAACACCCCTGGGTTCAATCCCTGGTACCCCTCTGCCCCCCCCCCCACCAAAAGAAATGGAGCATACAAAGTTATATGCAAAATGAACCCCACTACAATGCTCCAAGAAAAAATGAAGTCTTAGTTAATACTGTGTAATCACAATGTTCTTTAAATATTCAAATATAAAAAATGCATTCCTAATCTTATGCAAGATATTGTTATAACAAACTAACCGAGGTGTTTTAGGGCCTCAAGAATGGCAGAAAGGTGCTTATACGTTAAAAGATAATGAAGTGCAAGTGTGGTTCTTTTGTAGAGTTTATCTTCTTCTCTAATCTCCCTATTAACCATCTGAAGACTTAACCGTATAGCTTTAAATTTTGTACAATCATGTTTCTTCCTCCAAGAGTAGCCTCTCCATAATGCCTTAAAGAGATAAAAGAATAATTTTAAGATTACAGCCCACATTGTTTTGAATTTATATATACATTTACTTCTACAAAATAAATATTTTCAGTAAATTTATATGATATAAACAGATACATTTCAACTAAAACCTCAATTTTRGTTTTATTCCTGTATCAAAAACCATAGAGTTTTCACTTACCTGAAGTTTAGTGATTCTACTATTAAATTTTTCCTGTCTTTTTCGAAGGAGAAAGTGACGTACTGCTTTCTGTATTACTGATGCAGCCCTATTTTTCTGGTTCATACATTCTTGAACTTCATGCTCAATTTTTATGATGCTATAATATTTCTCAATAAATCTCTTTCGTTCTAATTTTGCTCGAAACCATCTCTGTTTAAAATGTGAAGATTTTTTCACTTTTAATACACACATTTTTAAAAGTAGACAAAAATRTACATACATTTATATACATATTTTATATATGTTAGCATTCTTCATAGCCATGTGAAGTTTACATGCTCCTTGAATTCTAAAAGCAGATAATATGAAGCTGCTATGAAGTGAAGGGGGAAGCCAAACTGGCTGTCAATGCTAAACTCTAAAGGAGAAAGAAACAGAAGGTCAAAACGCCTTTCAAACCTCCAGTATCATTTCCCCCTTCTATTTGTAGAGACTCATTCAGTCCACACTGGATGTGTGTATATGTGGACGTATGTATTTAATCCTGCAGAGTAATGCCTTTATTTTACAATTTATATAAATTCTGTCAAACTATACAACATTCTGAAAATTATTTTTTCACTAAATATTTTATTGGTACATGCATGTTAATTACACAAATAAGAACTTTATCCAGAATATAGAATTCCTATAAATCATAATAAAAAAGAACATCAAGTAGAAAAAGGGACAAAGTGCATAAAAAGAAAGATTAGAAAGAGCACATGATACACAGATAAGAACTTGAATAATAAATGTAAAAATTTCAGAACTGCTGGCAATCAAGTAAATGAAAAACAAAATGAGATACCATTTCCAATTCACTGGAATGGCAAAAATCAGGGTGTCTTCTGATGCCACTGTTGTGAAGGATTTAGAGGAACAGGTACCCTCCAACTTTACTAGTGGGARTATAATAAATGAGTAAAATTACATCAGAGAGTAATTCACAGCTTTATTGCTGTTCCATAAAGAAGATATCCAAACTTCCAGTCATCCTAATAGCTATATGCTGAAAATGTTACATATTATATGATCTTACCATAAGGAATCTGAGAATTGTTCAATATATGTCAAAAATTTCTAAGAGGAAAGTTACATCTCATAGTTTTTCTGCAAAAGACAAACTGACCTGAATACAAATGGCTGAATTAACCCGTTTGTTAGCATTCTTCATAGCCATGTGAACTTTATATGCTCTTTGAATTCTAAGAGCAGACAGGTGATAATATGCAGCTGCTGTGAAGTGAAGGAGCCGAGCTTTGGCTCTCTGTTCTAAAATCTAAAGGAGAAAAAGAATATTAATAATCAAGTGTCTGACTTTTTTGATACACCAATATTTTAACTCAAGAAATTTTTTGAAGTACTATAACAAATGAGTTGATTGCTCAGTTGTATAGCATGTAGAATATTAAAATATTTTATTTTTTTATTGTTTCTTTTTAGTTATATAAATTATTAGAATTCATTTTGACATAATTTAAAAACAGAATATAATTTGCTAYAATTCAGATCCCAGTACATCTCCTTTCCTTCCCCCACTTCCTGCCCTGTTCCCTTCCCTCTATTAAAGTGTCTGATTCTTAAGATAGTTTTTTCTCTTATGTAACTATCATGATTCAATGTGATTATAATCCTATATTTCAAAATATTTAGAATAATTTAACTCATGATTCAGAGTATGTAATCAAAATTATAGCATTTAATGTAACTAAACTACCCAATAACAGCAATTTAAGACCTTCAATGTATGAATAATGAAAGACATCAATGCTAAAAACCAAAAAAGGCTACTGYATTCCAGCAGAATAGAGATGGTGATGTTAAATCTGATAAAATTATATGAATTAATTGTTCCAGTATTAGTGTAGCACAAGTCCAGTGTAAGATTCTTATAGTATGGCTTTCAACAGTGATCCTGGGGCTTTAGATTTCTAATATATATGAGTRAAATACAAAAGAACTCTATTTTAGGTTCAAATCAGGCTGTTATGTCTATGCCAGTGCTTTATATATTGGAAGCCAAATGTCATGAGCTCCCTTAACAGAATTCTCTTTTGCTGAAGATGTGGGTGACATCACAGGAATGGTAGTTACAATTCCTTAAGGGCAGCAAAAGGSTACCTGAGTAAAAATTAACATCTTTAACCTATGAAACCTTTCCCTCATACTTCTTTCAGTTTTTTTATTGAGTCATTATACAAGAGAAATTTTATTTTGCATCTCTGGCAATGGGAAGCAGCAGGGTCACAGAACAAAAATCTGCGACACCCAATGCCCTTCTATGTAGCTCTGCAGCAGCTGAATGAACTCAAACTAATAATTATATTAGCTCTGAAAATATTCTCCAAAGACCAAAATGTCTTACCACCACTTAACATCAAATACTTTCATTTCACATGATTGAAACATTCTACTTAAAAAAACTTACTTTTCTCCTTTCTAACCAGCCACGCACTAGTGCTTGTAGAATAACTGTAGACTTTTTTAATTCAAGATATTTTATTCTTTCACATTTCCCAGCCTCCCAGGCTCGTATATGTCTTTGTATGATCAAAACAGCAGATTTCTGCTGAAGAAAGAGCTGTCTTCTTTTATGTCCTCTAAAATGTGCTTGGATAAGACAAGCAGCACGATGTTTCTACAAGGAAAATTTTACAAGTGACATTAATAGATAGAAATAATAAGATTTTCAACCTACTAGAGATTCTTGAATTTTTTCAATGTTTGAGGATGTCATATTTCATAGATTATGAAAAGGTGATACAGTCTATATAGATCTATAGCCAAAATTGAAGGGACAAGCCAAGATCAATAGATATTTGGTGTTCTCTCCCTCTTACCCTACTGATTCTTTTCATTGTGARGAGGAAAAGGACTAAAGTTATTATAGGAAAAATACATTTACTAAAAGAGCTAGCTACAATATAAAGAGCCGAGTGGTCATTATAACCAGCCATGAGGGAACTTCTGTGGTTTCAAGAACCACAAAGCATACCACCAGCATACTTTATGTTGCTCAATTACATAACATCCTGACAATCTAATTTTCACACACACAGAGGATGTGAAWTTAAATAATTTTAATTCATTTAAGCTAGGTTTGTTTTATAAACCTCCAGCTATTTGGGCAAGTAAATTTACCYCTCTAAACATTTTCCTCACCTTTAAGTTGAGTAGGATAATAGTAACTATTCTATAAGGTTGTATAAAGATCAAATTTGTTCATATACAAGAGCCTATCCAATGCTTGGCATACTTTAAGTATGACTAGTAAGAGTAATAACAATCATAGTTATATTATTAACCATAGTGAWTATTACATGAACACTAAAATTTAAGTCAAATTTTAATTTTTGATTTTTTTAACTAAAGCCCAAAGCTATTTTAAAATGCAGATGTTAAACAATTTAAATATATAATCAATAGTGGCTTAAAGAGCATGTTACTAAGTATTTGACTTATACTAGACAAAATATGCTACATTTATTATGATTTCTCCAGATTGGTTATTTTCACTGAAAGCACTTCAAACTTGAGTTTGAAAATAACTTATAAATACATATGATATATGCATGCACTATATATATATATAAAATACTAGTGTCTTTCCAAGTAAAAATAACTTTTACTTGAGTATAATAGATATAAAATAAACGAATAATTAGGTCTAAAAAATTCTTTTTGTCTTATAAATGAGTTATTTTTATTTACACCTACTTTTGCCATTAAGTGCTCATGAGCCATTCTTACAGAAAGTATAGCTCTCCATTTTCTCTGAATGATAATTGTTGATGCTCTCATCTTCAAAAACCTAAAAAATAGTTATTATTGAAAAGAAATTTCAAATTTAATATATTCAACAAATATTTATTGTTCTCTTACTTCCAATACTGAGGAGAAAAAAATACAACAAAGGCAAAACAAAAGGAAGCAGGAATTCATACTTAAGTTSTAGCAATCACAATTTTATGCATACACTTAAGACACAATAAAAAGGAAGTTTTGCAATTGGCAATATCCCAGTGAGTAGGAAACAAGAAGTTCCATAATTCTGGTGTGACAAATAATTTTGAACAAGATCAAAAGAAAGTATGAYCATTTGGGTCCAGACAAAAACCTCCATAAAGTGAGTCATGACAAATAATAGTAAAGAATAAAGTCTGAGTGAGTCTCTGAGCAGACAAGAGGTGGTCAAAAAGAGAGGTTGGAAGATTACAAGTAGCATCAGATAAGGACACTTATTTGAGAAGAAAGATGGGCTCTTTAATTTCTTCTCAGTATTATAGAAAAGGCAAAAAGATGAGTTTGTTTGATTGTCAGATTTCTTAGAAAATAAGACCGAATATCATTGAGAAAATTCACCATTTKGGTACAAGAAAATAAGATACCAGACCTTAATATTGATAGTGGCAACTGTGTCTATATATTAAGTCCTCTAACTCTGCTCTGTTCTCCTAAACTGGACAGCAATCACAAATTCTGGGATGTGAAGAAAAATTCTTATAGTGTGAAATAAAAAAAAAAAAAAAGACCATTTAATAGCAGCCTCTAAAAATTATGTAAAAYATACATTAAATGACTCGGGTAAGTGAGGAAATAGAATATGCATARAAAGTTGGTAATTAGGGTCTTCATCATTAAGGACAAAGAGTATGAAGAGTAATACAAAGTAAAGGAAGAAAGAAAAAGAAAAAGAAATATGAAAACAAATTTAGCCAATAGCTATATCAACAACAACAAAAAGGACAAAAGCTTTAAGTGTATGTAAATATTTCTTACTAAATTATATCATCAAGGCTATGCTCTATATTTAAAAAGCAAGATATCCCAAGAGATATATTATGGTTCATGAATGGAGAAAATACCAACAAAACTAACCATATAAATTGAGCATAGCAAATACTTATGAGGACTTGCCAACCACACATATACTATTATGCTCTTCCACAGGGCTACAATACATTACCGTGTTCTCTCCCGTTTGGCATAGAAGCAACCTTGAATAATTTCAACAGCTTTTAATACAGCTAAATATTCATTGCGTGCTCTCCAACACCTATACCAGGCTTGAATCTTGCAGGCAGCTCTCACTTTACATAAATATTTCTTAGCTTTATATCTTCTCCATATAGCCTATCAAATGCAAAAAAATATAACAGGTATGCAATGATTGTCATTTTTTGTAAATTGGAAGAATTAGTATTAAGACAGTCAATCTGAGGTTAATGCAGATAAACAAAAATCAATTGTAAAAATAAAGTCACATACTAACTCCCATTAGAGTCTGGCATATATTGAGTCCTCTGAGGACAGTGGTGCCGATATAATGAATGCCTGCCATGTACTTTATCACACATACCCTGTTGCTGGCTGTCAGAAAAGCCTAACGTAACCCTAGCCAATATTTTAAATTGTAACATATGTATTACATGTGGAAATCCAGATACATGTGCATCAATGCATTTGGAAGAACAGAAAGAAAATGAACACACTAACCTACTCCCCACTTCCTGGGGAGTAATCCTTACCACTCCACATACATTCTGKTTTTTGTGTGTAGTCTGTAAAGGAATCCTGCTCTTACCTTTGTTTCCGGTGTCACTTAATGGTATCTTCTGCTGAGTTACCTAAGCCATAAACATGTCTTGGATCCCTGTTCATGCTCAACATGATGACAATTCTCTTCCTAACCAAATTAAKTCTCCAAACTTCATTTTCACTAACCTATATTAAACTGTTGACTTTCACCTGATCAATGGCCTCCCAAATAGTCTCCCTATTCTATTTTGTTCCCTTTACAGTTCACCTTTCACATTCCTGTCAGAGTAACTTTGTAAAAATAAAAATAATTCTAGCCTTCTCCTGCTTAAATTCCTTTATAAATTTTTTTCTGCATCTTACAAAGATATTCACAATTTTGCTCCTGGCCAGTCTTGTCCTATCTTACTTTGTACTCCTCTCTGATAGTCCCTCCATACATTTTACTTGGCTCTTTCCAAATTTATCCTTTAGCCAAATATTTGAATATATATGTCACTCACTCTAGAAAGCTTTCTCTGACCACAAGATTAGCTTAGATTCTTTTTGTTCCCACTAACATACACTTCTTACTTAATATTATCATTTCCCTTGCTCAAYTAAGTAGTTTGAGGAGAGCAACTAAGTATATCTTACGGTCTATTCCTAAAACCCAGTACAATATTTAGCACCTTATTAGCACTAAACAGTTTGTGGATTTTGAGAGAGAATATTATTTCTAAGCTTAACAGCAACTATCAAGATAACAACATATCACACTTAGGTTCAAAGCCCAATTTATTACACATAGAACAAAAATAGCTGAAGTGCTCAGATTCAATTCCTGGATCTGCCTCCTTCCAATACAACATTGAAATTTTTGGTTAATTTTTTCTCAGTTCTCTAATATTTTAAGAGATAAAACTCTATTTTCCTCACACATTGGAGAATTTATTAAACAAAATAACAAAATGCTTTAGAAGCCAAAAGTGCTAAACTGAATAAAGTACATCTATATAAWAAGCAGCTCTAGCTAATATATTATTAGAGGAATATAATTATCCTGTTTCATCCAATTATGCTAAATAACAGTTCACTTTAATTTAAAATTTACTCTTAAAAAATGTCAAATATGGAGATCCCATCTTTTCAAAATTCTTCCAGGAGTGCTATAATTAACACCTATGAAATGCATGAAGTGCAAGGTGACCAGGGTCAAAACAACTCCAGTTCTGTGCTGTCTTGCCTGAATCATCATTGGTGTCTTTTCTCACTCTCAAAATAATGTTCTACTTTGGAAGATGATAAAATGGTCACTCAAAGTACTATTATTATATATGGCCTGCTTAAACTCATTTAAAAAATTCTCACAAACACTGACCAAAATATTGAAGCTTTATATTTAAAATAAGTAAATACCTGAATTTTTATGGTGCTACTTTTAATTTTATAAAACTTCTGTTTCTGTATAAATCCTTTGATTCTAGCTTGAATTATAATAACACTCCTCCTGATTTGCAAATAGACTTGTCTTTGGTGTTTTGCAGATAGACGGGCTCTGTAGTGATTTTGTAAAGTGACTGCTGCTTTTCTATATAGTAAAAACTGCTTTCTGGTTTGCCATGTCCTGATATAACGCTGTAAAGTGACAGCAGCTCTTTTCTGCTGAACAAATCTTCTCCGAAACACAGCCATCAGAAGGAAGGACTGAATTTGGAGGGCAGCACATTTCTGCATTTCCAGTTTTCTTGTGACTGTATCACAAAGATCTCTTTGAATCATTACTATAGTCCCACTTTGAGAATGATACTCTCCTTCCTGTGAAAAGCAAACAGAGAAGTGTTAAACCACCTGTAAATCATAACATCCCCACTTTGAACAGCTTCATATTGGGTTTTACTTCTGTAACAGTTGAATGCAGGTTGGTTAGCAAGACTGCCATCCTTTCCTCATGTATATTTTAAATTTCTGTCATGCCATTAAAGGCAGCCTGAAGAGGTCAGATTTCTGAATCTGCTAAAACAYTTTTTTCTTTCCTTTTTAACTCTGACATATGACCTACAAAAATCTGTGTAACAAAAATCAGTTTTCTTTGTTCAATAAACARCTTTGGCTCTGTGCATTAGGTAGAATGACCAAATTAGGGTGGCAGCCAGGTGCATAYATTGGATATTACTTCTTACCTTAAAGCCTCTGTAAGAAGACTGTACAGAAGTAACTGTTTGGGTTCTTGTTGCAGTTAATGCTCTGTATCTTCTTTGAACAGAAATTACTGTTGCTCTAAAGTGGAGATAACGTCTCCTTGTGAGAAAAGCTTTAAAATGCTTCTGAATAATAATGGCAGCTTCATGCTGTTTCTGAGTTTGTTTCCTTATGTTGATGTCCTGAAAACTTGCTTGAATGCTATTTGTTTCTTCTTTACACATATTGGGTTGAAGAGCTTTTTGTTTCTTTTTATTTGCTCGATATCCGTCTTGTAACACTTTTGTAGCCCAGCGGAGCTTTTGGTAGAAACAATATTGCTTATACATTTTGYATGTGCTTTGTATTCTAATAGCAGCTCTGTGTTTTTCCCTTAAAAGCTGTCTTGTTTTCATTCCTTTATATGCAGCTTGARTGACCACTGCAGAATCCCATTGTCTGATAAAATTTTCTCTTTGMAATTTTGCAGCTCTGTATGTTCTATAATGTTGTTGAATTATAATTGAGGCACGTTTCTTAGTCTGAAATGAAACAAATGTTCTGTGCATTCTGAAAGTCGCCTGAATGAGAACAGCAGCCCTCTGCATTTCTTGCATTTGTCTCCTTACCACCCACCCTCTGTATGATGACTGGATCTTAATAACTGCCTTTCGTAACTGAAGGAMTTGTAAGTGATGCTTCTTTSCACAAAGTTTTGCACGATATGTTCTCTGAATCCAAATAACAGTTTWCCTGAGAGAAAGGAATTTTCTTCTCATCATCACAGTTCTAAATCTCCTCTGAATAAGGGTGGCAGCTAAATGCATAACTTTTAAAAGTCTCCTAGTTTTCATGCCCCTAAAAGTAGCCTGAAGGCGTACTGCAGAATGCCTCAATTGGTTATACCTCTGAAATTGTTTGTTTCTTGCCTTCACTGCTCGGTATCTTTGCTGTACTATTTTTGTTGCCTTCTTTAACTTATTAAAATACATTTGCTGCCTGTATCTTCTATAGCRTGACTGAATAAGTGTTGCTGCAACCTGCATCTTTCTTAGAGTTTGTCTAACTCTTGCTCCTCTAAAACTTGCCTGAAGAGTATTAACAGCCTTTAAAGTTGCCAGGTACTTTTCACGCTGAATTTTACCTTGACAATATGCTCTGTATCTTACTTGAATTGCAACAGCTGCTCTTCTCATTGCATGGTATCTTACTCTTGACTGATACATTTTAAACATGGCTTTAATTAAAGTGGCTGCAATGTGCATGTGTTGAATATGTCTTCTTACTCTAATACCTCTATAAACAGCTTGGATTTTAATTGCTGTCTTCTTTAAATTAAGATACTCCTTTTGTTGATGRTTTGTAATTTTGATATCTCGATACCACCTCTGAATTATGATAGCTGAAGCTCTGTAKATTGCATATTTCTTTTGGGCTCTGTAAGCTCTATATTTAGATTGTATAGTGATTGCTGCTTTGCTGAATTTCTTTATTCTTTTTCTCACTTTCATACCACGGTAAGCTGACTGTAAAACTAGCACAGCCATTTTTGTTTTCAAATACAARCGATGTTGTTCTCTCCCAATTCTGTAAGCTCTGTAATACATTTGAATCAAAAGAGCAGCTTTTCTCATGAGTCTCCACCTCTTTTGTTGCACATGCATTCTATAGTRTGACTGTATGATGGCCGCACATTTGTGCTTCCTTTGAATTTGTCTTCTCAGGGTTCTTCCTTTCCATGCAGACTGAAGCACCAGTACTGCATGACGGAGTTCAACATACTCCATACGTTGTTTCTTTCCTATAGTCCATGCTCTTAGATGTTGCTGGATGATTAATACTGCTGATTTTAACAATCTGAATTGTTTCTGGGCCTTGTTCATTCTAAAAGTAGACTGAATCTTGATTGCAGCTTGATGTTCCCTTCTGATCTGCTGCCGGACTTTCCAGCCTCGATAAGCAGACTGAAGGGAAATCACAGCTGTTCTTTTCTTTAAAAAATGTGTTCTTATATCATAAGCAGATTTGTGTGCCCTGTACCATCTCTGAATTTTCATTACCGACCAAAGAACAGATTGATATTTTATTCTTTTACTGTAGCCTCTAAAAGCAGTTTGAATTTTAAGAGCCRCTAGAGATTGTTCTTTCAATAGTCGGCGAACTTTGTAACCTCTGTAGACTGCTTGCAAACAAGTAGCTGCTCTTTTGACTTGCAAGAAGTTCTTCCTCTGATTGACTTGTACTTTGTATGCACGATAGTAATTCTGAATGACAACAACTGCTTTA